CTGTCCTGCACCTCTCACCTGCCGGATTTGGTGATGATCATCTCGGTTCCAATCTGATGAAACTTCATCCAGAGACCCTTGTCCTCGAGGGTGACCACAATGGAGCTCTGTGCACAGGGCTCCAGGCTGGGGGAAGGAAGGGCCTCACATGGCGCTTTCAAGTCTAGAGAGAGAGAGAAGATGGTGACTTCAGACAGGCAGGAGGGAACTAACCTGGCACAGCCCCTCCTGCTGCGGGACTGGGAACTCTGTGCCACAACAAACCTCTTAAAATCTGTCATTTTTTCTTCAAAGGATTTTTGTTACTGAATAGGCTCAGAGCCTTTTCCAACAGATTTGGTTTTACCTGGTAGCTTCTTTTGTAAAGATCTGTGTGTTGTACCAACTCAACCCAAAGTTTATTGTTACAAAACTCTTACTGGCAGTAGCCACAATCCACCATTCTGGTATGATCAGGGTTACACAAAACACTTTTACCAAGAGAATACAACAAAAGCTGAAAGGACTGTAAAGACTGTAATTGCACCACTGGGTAGTGGGGAAAAACAACAGGTAGGTGGTAGCAAAGTGAAAAATCCCTCCAGGAGACAAAGATGAGAGAGACAGGACTCCTAAATGTAAGTGAAGGCAAGAAAAGGAGGTGACAGAAATAGCCTGTGGAATATTCTGAAAAGAGGATGGCTGGTCTGAACTGGACTTGGAGATGGGAATCACTGAGGAGCCTGTGATGAGAGTGGAAGATGTTCAGTAACACACCCTGGCACATCAGAGGAGCTGCCTACAACATGCCTGCACTTTCTGTTGGAGGCAGAGGATCAAAAGTGGTCCTGGGGAAGAGGAAAGGGACATTATTCTGGGGGGAACCATCCCTGGTGTTGATGGTACCAACCACCTCCATAGAGCTGTTTGGATTAAACACATTTAAAAACCTCCACAGCTGCTCTTAACAATACTGTAAGGCAGGCAAGTTTGCTGCTGCCATACTGAAAAGCCCAGTTTCACTTTAGGTTAAATGTGACCTGGTGTAGTGCTGGTGGGCTGATTTCATGCCCAGCAGGGCTTTACTAACACTGCCCTGGGGTCTGACAGAGGGATGGATGTGTTTGCTCGGCAGGGCACCCACGGCAGCAGTGCTGTCCCCAGCCCAGAGCCAGCAGGACACCTCACAGGGTGATGCATTAGCAGCCAGGCACAGCTATTTGTTTAAAAGGGAGATTTTTCTGCCTCTCAGCCTGTTCAGATGTTACTCAGAGCACAGCAGAAGAAAGGGGAATTTTCACCTTGTTACAGCTTTTCTGAGTAATGTCTTCAAAAGAATATTCACAAAAGGTAGACAGTTATTTCCAGATAAATTAGCTTTTTTATAAAGGGACATCTTTCTACCAAAACAACCCAATGTGAGTCTAAGGGCTTCTTCCTTCAGTACTAAGAAGTAAAAAACATTTAAATGTAATTTTGTCAGTTTGTAAAGGTCTTCAGGCATTTAAAAAAAAAAAAAAGAAAATCCTCTACCCTTTTTCCTGCTTTGATCCAACATTAATGAACTGGCCAAGAAGTGACACCTAGTTTGCTCACTAAGATTAGCCTGTTAACATCTTCTTACTAAAGCTTCTGCCATATCCTCTTGCAAAGACATGAAAGCTGCCATGAGGCGATGCATTCGGTAGCTCAGTGCAGCACATGTATCAAAAGGAGTTACAATAAAATTGGGCTGATTTCCCACAGGAGCCATCCAGTCACAAATACATGCAAACAGATTTTGATTAGCTAGACATACGCTCGCTCCTTCCCCAGATGAATTTTAGAATTAACATTTCTGTAAGCAAATTCCAATGCCATTAAATGAGACTACAAGAAGACAGATCTCAGGAGTCCTCATTGAGGGGAGACTTCCAATGAAGCAGAGAGGAACCGAAGTGAAAGAAGTTCAACAGTGAATTAAAAATCAAAGGCAGATGTTATAACCTGTTTTTTACCAAGATGAGTCCACACCGCACCTGGAGGAGAGCGATGCTGCGGGAGACAGGGACAATAAACGCTGCAGCAAAGATTTCAAGATGTGGTTAATGCCTTTCACCATGCAGGTTTTGTGTGCACAGTTTGAGGCTGAAAACCAGAACATTAACAGTCTGCATGAGGATCTGGACCCCAGCAGTGCAAGCTTGGGAATGGATCCACAGAGCCGACTCCGCAGCCGTGCGCTGTCGGCTCCAGCGGGATCCTGCAGCCGTGGATCTGTTTGTAGGATCCACTTTGGATTTTGTTTGCAGAGTCAAAGGCTGGCTAGCAAGGCACTTCAAATTCCCTCCTAGTTTGTGCCTGTGTAACTAATGCCAAGACTCAGGCACACAACCCGCTCCAAAGTTGCCTGCGCGTGGGAATTACAGCACAGAGAGGTTTGGGCAGGGTGTCCAAGCACTGAACGGAACTTGTTAGACCTGTACTTCTATGATTTCCTCTTCTATCTAACTTAGTTTTTAAGTATTATTTGAAACACATTTGAACATTTTCCAAGAATTCTAATTCTAAGCTTTTTAAAAAGCATTATGATTGTCACTGTTTTGGTAACACAGGATGTGGCACATTTTAAAACATATTCTTTATGCCCAGATGAGGTTGAAAAGGAAGAAAGATGGGATGATAAAGGCACCGAAAATTCAGGTATCTTCAATCTATTCCGGCCTTGGTTTGAAAGTCCATATACCAATAGAAGCAGCTTGTCCTACAGTTTCTGAACATACCTTTTTCCTATCTTGGGGATGGAAAGAAAGAAATGAGAGACAATTCAGTAAGTCTTGAAGGGAGAAGGAAGCTTTTTGGATAGGAGATGCTGGAGTACAATTCCCTCACCTAAAGCAATCCTTCAATTCATTGTCAATTGCAGAGACAATGTTATGATGTCAGAAAATCTGTTGCAGCCTTTCCAAAATGTATGGGATAGAGTTTGCAATACTGGGAAAAGTCCAACAAGGCTAAAGATATGCTTCTTACCTTCACTAAAACCAGTTATTGTTACATTTGTTGCTGTTATCTTCCAAGTGAAGAAGTCCAACACTGACAGCTATTCAGTGTCCACAGGAAGGAATGCACCCCAATGTATAAAGCTTTTTAAGAAATTAATCTTGCCAACAATCAAAAAAATTCCCAAGTTTTCTGATCTTCTAAATGTCAGCAGAAACACTCCGACCCTCCAGAGGGAACCCCATTTCTCAGAACCAGAGGGTTTTTTGGCAATAACAAAAGTATGGCGCTTCTACAAAAGCAATGGCTTCATCTCTGAGATGCACCCAGCCATCACCTGGAATATTTCTGCCCTAGGGAGTCATACACCAGAAGCAACTCAGTAAGAAAATGAGGTGACTTCTGCAATAGGTGGAATCTTCACATGATAAAATACCATAATACAGTCTGTATCTTTTCATTGTTGCTCTTTCATTTTTCAACCCAAAATTCTTCAGAAGTGGCAGAAATCAGTATGAATCGGATTAACACAGCAGGGACTGCAAAACCCCAAACAGCAGGATGGTGGAAATTAACTGAGTCACTGCACAGGTATTTTGCTTATGAATGACACAACACCTTGCAGAGGAAGAAAAAGGAAGCTGAGAATGCCCAGTCACTTCTAATGTGTATTATGAACTGCACAACCCTAAAACAGGTAAATAACTGTTTCCTTCTGATGTGCAGTAAAACCCCAGAGTAAATTTGGGGTTCAGTTACACTGACAAATGCAGTGCCTCTGGGCTGGCCCTTAGTTTCCCAATGCATATCAGCCATTGTGCCCAATCTAATCATGCCCCAGACAGGACAGATAAACAGCATGTTAGGGGATGGACTGACGAAGGAAAACACAACAAAAGCCTAAGGAAATCATAAAAATCTTGTGTGTTGGGCATGAGCCTGGAAGAGGTGGGCTATGCCTGCTTGTGGTTTATAATTTCAATGGGCAGAGGGGAAAAAAAAAAAAAGAAAAACCAAATAGTTGGTATCAGAGCTATTATTAGAAGTAGAACAAATATTTCCAAACGTTCCCTGGCCTTCAACCCGAAGAACTCAGTACTTTGCAGACAATACACAAACAACACCTCCAGCCCTCAGTGAACGATCACACGGCACAAGCACATGTGGATAAGGGAGTTTTGGACATATTGTGAGCAAACTTTTGCTACCTTAGAAAAGATCTTTAAAGGCTCACAAAAAACACTCAAACCCCACAATTTATTATCTATTCTTAAGAAAAAAACCCAGTTAATAAATCCTCTCCAACTCCATGCACACTACTATAAATGCTGGTAGCCCTTCAGGAGCACTTGTTCCCTTTCTGGCATAAGTCTAGGATCTTTCTACTCCATAAGGAAAGGGAGAGAATCCTTCCCTTACCTGGTAAAGCTTGCATTTTTCCATGTACTGTGACGTCTAGGAGCTTGCACGGCCAAGAGAGCCACCAGAGTTCTTGCAAGGGGAACCAAAATAGTCCAGTTCAAAAGCAGGTCTGATTTCCTGAAGCAAGCACAAGCCCTTCCTTCTGAGATCCAGTGTCAAGAGTGAGCGGGATGAGGATGGGACCCCAAGCACAGCTAGCCAAGGTGAGTTCCTGTTTTATGGAGGCTAATGAGCAGGGAGGAGCTTCCCGCCAGGGCTGTCCCCTTGCGATCCTTTGATGTCCAAAGGGACAAAGAGAGGAAGGATCTGCAGCAATGGCTTGGGCTAAGGGAAGAAAATCAAAGAGAATTAACATGGCTTTGACATACAGGAAACCCGACGGGGGAAATGCACCTTGATTTACTGCTAACGCACTTTTAAACAAATAGAGACAAGACCGAAAACATCAGTTGAGGACTTAGCTACGAAATCAAAACAAATCCCGTTAAACAGCAAGCAGGGAAAGCTTCCTTTTGGCTATTCCACGGATTTGTGGTAATTCTCATCATCAGCGCACAGACTCATTTTACTCTTGATTTCTGGGATCAGAATAGGGCTGCATCGAGCTTGGCCCCTCCCAAGTAGGTGATTAATAGTTGGTACCGAAGTTTGCTCTCACAACTGGAATGCTGCCACAACACATCCCTTCAAGGACAGATCCTTCTCCAACAACGTAAACACATTTGATGATACAGCGTTACTTACCTGTCCAATATCTGCATTCCCAGCCCTGAACTGCACCCTGAACTTTTTGGGGGGTAGATCAGGCACTGGGTTTAGGTCTTGCTCAAGGTACTGCTCTTACCCAGGGAAGGCTGAGCAGAAAGAAGAGCTTAAGTATTTTCCTTAATTAGTATATTCTGCAAGTGTGACCATTAGCTTTTGTGCTTTTAAGTGCTTACAAGTGCTAAGAGACAGCAATCAAGGCTCAGGCCTTCAGGGCACAACACACCCACTGCACCTCGGTGAAGGTTCTCTGCATTCACACACAGAAATGGCTGTACCAACACTGACGATACAACACTGACGGTCAGAAAGTGGAGGTCAAAAGCAGGATCTCAGTCTCCATGGGCCAGTGCACAGCAAATTTGGGAGCTCTGTTCATTTCAAAGATCTTGCTATGTATAAGGCTGCATTTGATTCACTGTCTAGATTCACTCCAAGAAAAATAAACATTTTTCTGTTTTGTCAGTGATGTTACTGGGACACCTGATCTTCAGTCTGACATGCAAAATGTATTCTGAATTTGTTTAGTGAGTTCCTACATCCAAACAACATTCCTTGAGCTCTGTTCTTACTGCCTTTTGGAGCAGGCAATGTGAAGACATGCAAAGAGGACAAAGAAGCTTAATTAGAGGAGGGACTGGCTCTTTCAGTGGTATATTGAATGTTAGGCATTGCAGTACTAGTCAGGGAGAGAAAAGCTAATGCTTAGAGTGGCAAGGAAGAACGTTTAAAAGAAAAGGGTTGGGGAGTTTAAAAAGTCCTGAGGAGGATTTTATAGCAGGAGTGGTCCATTGGCTCCTGGCACCTCTGAAGGACCACATCCAGCCTTCCTGACATCCCTTTTAAACCACTGGATAATACAGAAGACCACAGGCTCTTCTCCTTCAGCTAATTTGGAGACATCCACAGTTGTGGAGTCTTGCTACCACTGAGGAGAGGTCTTCATATGGTGGAGAAACATCAACTTGCACCTCAAATGAAGATTATTTATTACATACGTGGAAAAATAAATCAGAAGGGAAAAGGTCAGCTGGAAATGGTATCAAGGTCAAACCTCTGCTTGTACTTGCACAGCCACTACCAGACACAAACCAAATAGGATGCAGAAATGCTTTTCTACTCTGCCACAGAAGGAAAGACAGCATCAAATCAGCTCCCTCTCCATGTCCTGCTTTTCTGATGCTAGTATTTTAATTGTAGAAAGCGGAAAAGACAACCATAATCAGAATCTGAAAAGGAAAAACAGAACAAAAATTGGGTCAGATTCGAGCTAGCAGCGAGATGAATCAACATCCCACACAGTCAGAAACTGCACAACAGCAGCAGCAGCACTGGGAATTTCAGACTTCACCTGACAAGAGCGTGGGATGTGTATCATGACTTTCTGCTTCTTCCACAAAGGGTATGAGATGGTCTCCTGCTGCCACTTCATTTGCACGCTGCTATCAGCATGTCTAGGGAACACATATTTGCTACAAGTACTCAAATCCTTTTGGCTTCTCCCAGCTGATTGATGGGGAAGGTGGAGTCATTAATTACCCATGACTAGTTAACAACTAGCTTTCTCCCAGCCATTCTAGTTGCACTGGAAAGGTTTTAAAAGTGAAAAAAAAAGTGAATTTGTTACTATTGCTGGAAAGCGTGGCTAACAGGAGGCAATCCCCAGGAAATTCATCCTTAGCAAAGGGGGAATTTAGCACATTACCCTTGTCTGTCTGTCCACGGAGAGCCCTCAGGCAGTTTGATGGGAAGTCAGAGGTGAATGTGCTGGTGTCTAACAATTCCCTGGCAAATTGGAGGCTGAGGGTGTGGAAAGGGACAGGAGAGAGAGTGGATCTGACATGTGTAAGTCGGTGACATCCACAGCTCTGCTCCAAGCTCATTTACAGCAGCAGGTATAAATCCTGCTGAGCCCAGCTCTAACTGTAGGCTCTGCCCTGTGCCAAAGGGATGAGGTAGGGCAGTGCAGGAGGGAGGGAGTGCAGTGATGACAAAACCAGAGGCCAAGAGCTTTTGCTTTGCATCTCTTTGAGGAGGTGATTAGAAAGAAACATTCCTCTCTGGGTCTTGTAGTAAGGCAAATGTTTTCTGGCATTTTTCCCACTTTAAGTGAAGCTTTAACCCTTAGTGCTCAATAGGACCTTGTATGGAGCTGGTTTGCACACAAACAAAGCTGGTTTGTACAGCCTTCCCCGCTGTCCAACACAGTGATCATCTCACCATCTCTGGCTGTTGCCTGGGGCTCTCAGACTGTTGGAGAACAGATAACTAACGTGTCAGCAAGCAGGGGGCTTTGGCTAACAGGGTGGGAGTCTCCAAGTGGATGTGCCCAATGCACCACCACCTCTGCCCAGGCAGAGCTTCCAGGGAATCATTCTGCCCAGAGAGCAAGCTCAGATGTGAGGCATAAAGTTACTGCCTGGGGCACGGCTGAAATGCAACAGAATGGTCTTTTGAAAGAACTTGGATTATTGCTCATGTGTATCAGCCCCTGGGTGCAGCAGCCAGTGTTCAGCCCCTGCAGGTTTCTCTCTGTGCACACAGCTGTGAGAAAGTATTATCATATCAGCTTTAGTAAACTGGGCTTAAGCAAAGCTGTGTTGAATCTGCACAAGCAAGAAAAAAACCCCACGGAGCAGTACAAACTGCATTTAAGAGATTCTCCCCTCTGAAACATGAGGAAAGCCTTCCTGCCATCTCAGTGTGACTCATTTAGCCGATTCCCAGCTGGCACATGCAGACCACAGTGGCAGAGCATCCTGGCAACTCTTTACGAAGGATACTCTGCCATCTGCGCGGGATGAGCACTGAAAAAGTGAAGAGACACCATGTCATTACAGGACCCAAAATAAAATAGACAGCCCTACACTGACTCCTTGCCCTTGTTAGTGCCCAATACTTAATGCAGCAAAATAGGAAATACAAGTGCAGGGTTGGCCAGGACAGAGTGGCCGAGCTCTGGCAGCACAGGCACAGCCTAAACTTGGGCAGCTTTGTGAGCAAGTCTCTGTGGGCGGCTGCAGGAATGGTAAAACCTTGCAAAGTGTTTTGAGATCCTCTGAAGAAGTGGTACAAATTATCTCCTATGATGCGGTAGCAAAGGAACAGTTCCTACCCAGCTCCTTAGGAGAGCTCACATAACATAACATTTTCTTTGGATGGAGCAAAATGGCACCTTTTTTCTCCCTTTTTATGACTGGGTTTGATTTTTCCTGGGAAAAGCTGTCTGATGTCTTCAGGCATATTACATGGGCAGTGCCACTCAGACCTTCCCACCCTGGGACCCCTGCAAGGGGTCCCACAGAAGTCAGACCTCCGTAGGGCTGAAAACCCCATACTGAGCCCCAAATTGTATCAGCCCCAAATTTTCCCTGTGCTCTCAAAAATGCAAAAATAACATTTGGCAAACCAAAACGGTTGGAGAGGGCCTGTTGGTAACATCTCAATGCTAATTCACCACAGGGTCCCCGGACAGAGGCACAGTGAGCTGTGGGGATGGGTCACAGGCTGAGACAGGATCTGTTCTGGAAGGGAATGTGGGAAAGCAGCTCATAAAAATGAAAAGCTGTACATTTCAAGTTTAAGACAAGGCTTTTCCTCTTGCAGGTTTGTGGATTGAGGTACCTGGCCTCAAAGCTGTACTCCCCCACTAAAGAAAAAGAGGATTCTCCCCTATCTCCCCTTTCTCACATCCGCCCTCCCCAGCCCTCTGCAGTACTCCCCCTGCTCCCAGCAGTTCGTTAGCATGGAGACAAGAAGGGAAATACTTAGCAGCCACTTAACACTGCAGGCTGAGTTTGGCCTCAAAGGCTACAGTCCAGAGTCAAATGCAAAATATGTCTGTCTAGAGCCCTTTCAAGTTCCCACAGACTCCTGATGTTAGGTGCACTGTTTTCCTGCCGACCCACTGTGCTTCCCAGACACAGCTCAGCGCTCTGTCCCACTCAAATCCACAAAAAATACATACTGAAAGGACTTGCAGCAGCAAGGAGAGCTCTGCACCACAACACGGAAAGGACACTGCCTTCCCTCCCCTGCGCTGTGAAGGCTCCTTCCTCCGGGGATGCAGCAGCCCTGCCTGAACTCACTGGTCTCCACCGTGAGCCATAAAGGAGCTGCCTGAGAAGACAGACAGCAAGTAAGGCCGGCTTAACATCCATCCATAAATACTTCTATATTTATACACATGCACACACTTATCTGCAAAGAGAAGCATCATGCAGCGCTCAAAAATTGCTGGCAGTTTACTTAACCATGAATTGAGACCAGACAAAAACCCTGAGCAGAACGGATTCTGCTGAGCAGAAGCCCAACAGACAATGCTGCACCAACCTCCATTAAAAAGCTGATGTCTCCAGAAAAAAAAAAAGCAGCAGCTCAAACCCAGGAGCTTTTGTCTAAACCTTATGGGCTTTCAAGATTGTCGATACACTGTCATGCTACTTTGGTTTCTGCAAGAGATTTCTTTTGCTGGTGATCAGGCATTTGTAAAGCCATGAAACCTACAAAAACCCAGACTTCAATCACACAATTAAAGGGTCCAAGTTACTTTGTTTGGCCAAGACAGATCTCTTGTATCAATCACATAAGGAAGTTTCCATATACTGTTCATCACAGTAAGGTTCTAATGAAATCAGGAGATCAATAAACAGTATAATTCCTATCAGAGGAACTATCTTCAAAGAGCAGACTAAAATTGTTAAGATTTAAAGTGTTTGGAATTTAAAAATAAAAACTGTTGTGAGTTCTACAACGCACCCAACTTGTTCATCACCTCTCAGCAAACTGATACTGGGGTCCATAGTAACAACACTCAGATAAGAATCCTTCAACATCACTGATAATAGAAAAAAGCACCTGTCAGATTTCATGGATTCCTCACATCAACAGTGGGATGAGGCATGTACATGTACATGTGCTGACAGCTGCCACTTCTCCCTGCAATCCCTGATTTGGCCAGATTTGTTCCCTCTGTTCTTCCCATACAGTCAAATTTCTATACTCATTCTTTGTTGCAGTCACGGGCCCGGGTACAGACTCCAGGCAGTTCTCAGCCCCACGGCTCCCTCCCCCTCCCCAGCAGATTGTGAAATGTTTATGACCTGGCTCTTATGGCTCTAGAGGTGCTGAATGGCCTTTTCCCCCCTCCGAGTCTCAGCTCCTGATGGGCAGCTACAGACCAACTTTTAGCCGGTTTGGTCCGTAGTTGTGGATTTTATTGCCCAGTTTGTCTCTTCAGCTCACATTTGTAAGCTCCAGAGTAGATTTTTCCCTGGGTAACACTCTGCAGCTCAAAGAACTCTTCTTGTTTTTATTACATCCTTAGTGATTAAAGGGATATTTAAACCTCACAATGCTCCCTGCTGTGAATATAAAAGCCTAGCATCATTTTGGATAGATGTGCTTAGAAAAATAAATTAAAAATTAGCCCTACTATAGCGAACAAATGCTTCTAAGTTGTTAAGAACATCAGACACCTGCATGATTTAAATATATTGGCTGTAATTCCTTGAGAAACCAAGGGATGACACATGGTTTTGTCCTATCTGAATGGTTATACAGACAAGTTTCACTTGGAACGAGAGCAGAGGTGTGCAATGACTGCATCATACTGAAAATACTGGATTTTATCTACTTGGGCATAAATGACACAGATTTCTTCTCGTCTCTAACCCTGCAAACAGTAATACACATAATAGGTACCACTCTTAAAAACACAAACTTTGCTTTTGTGAGGCAAAACTGTTTTTAAATGACTGCTATTTCACAGCCTAACCTACGCCTGCCAACCAAATGCAGATACAAACAATACAATGTAGATTCATCAGAAATACTTAAATTCTGCTAAGAAGAGTGCTGGGGAGTGTGCAGGAGGAAATCAAAGTCATGTTTGAGAGCAAGTATTTCTGTGAGCACAGATTAGATGGTTATCAATAATGAGTTCACTGGTTTTGCCACCCTCTAATACTGCAGTTACTCATTTAAGCTTCTGCAGGGAGCTCCTGCTGGGGTCAGATTAGGGAGCTGAGCTTGCCTGAGATGGAGGTTTGGACTCACTGCCAAGGAGCTTCATTTCCAAATAACTGCTTATAGTGCACAGGGAGCCTCAGATCTACAGTTTGTGCTCTACAGGACAGAGTGGACAAGTTACCAAGCCTGGGAGGGCTGGTGTAGATTTATCATAAACCTGAGGCAAATATTTGAAATCTAAGTCCATTCATGGTTCCCCATTATGTCTGACTTTTTTTTGTTGCGTATTTCCTCTCCAAGATGGAAATACTCCTTCTCCTCCCTTTGCATCATACTGTGAAGAAGTTGTTCAAGCGAAGAATTGCTGACTTCTGGAGTTCCTCACCCCTGATTCCAGATTTTCCCTTTAGATAACCTCAGTATCACTTAAGCTTTTGAAGACAGTGATGTTCAGCCATATCCACTATAAAAAATATGGTAACATCAAGGAGGCTCCAATACAGAGATAGTTCATAGGGATTTTTGCAGTGAGATGCTTTCACTTCCCTGCTGGAAACATAACCACAAACATAACCACAGGATGCACATGCGAAAATAGCATACAGTTGAGCAGGAAAGTGGCAGGGTTTCTTTCTGAGAGCCTGCTGTAAAACAAACTGGTAAAACCACAAGTAATTCTTATCACTTCATTATCAAAGCTACTGGGGAACTGGAGGGAGACTGGATGAGCTGAACACCAGAAAAGATTAGAGGAGTTGGTTAAGTAAATCTTTGCTGATTGACAGCCCTGTACACAAAGAAGAAATGAACATGTCTGCAGGGTGTAAACACACAGATGACAGAGGAATTAATGTGCTACAAAGGGATATAATTATCTTCATTAGTTGGGATGAAAATGAGAGAGAAGCAATTTGAGTATCCAGGAAAAAAAACATTCTGGCTGCGCAAGGGCAGCCTGTTCACAGAGGAAAAGACAAAGTCCTTACTGTGTCAGGCTTTTACCTGCCTTTTGCACAAACCACTGGTATTGCAGAGAACAGTCCTGCCTTGGCAGGAGCAGCAAAGAAGGCTTCGAGACACCTTCTCACCTCTTATTCCTGTGATACCTCGAAGGAGTACTAAAGGAATTCTGGGGCCACAAGGAAGAACGGATGTTCCACTGGCATATGAACAGACTGCTTCCCACTGGGATGTAACCCAGGCTCACTGGCACACCGTGGGTTACAGCACCACACATTTGACACAGATTCCAGGAGAGGGAAATGTCCAGGCTTCTCTTATTGTCCAGGCTTCTCTTATTCGATCACACTGCTTCAGAGCTTTACTGGAGACCTCTGTTCTCTTGAAGGAGACTGTTTGACTGTTTCTTTCTTCCAATGACTTCTAAGAGCTGGAGAATTTGGGTGAAGTATCTGAGGAAGCTGGATCATGCCAGAAGCGAAATGGAGCTTAAATCAAGTGAAATGCAAAATGCAAATGCAAAAAGAAAGAATCTTTCAGACTCAAGTGTGAACCTCAACAACAATCCCAAGCAGTGGCCAGGCCTGCCTTTTGTTCAGAATCTTGGCAATGGAGACCTAATGTGAACTAACAGGAAAGAAACCATGGGAATCATGCTGAATTTCCCCCATGAGATTTTCTGCTGCATGTTTAGGTCTCAGGGTATACACACAACTACATTACTACAGTCCAAGGTGATAAAATCAGGACCATATTAATTGACTCAGATAATGCACCACTTTCTCCTTTGTGGCATTGTCCCTGGTGTTATTTGCAGCTGCAATTAGGCTGGTGCCTGTTTTGGCACTGGTGCTGTGAGCCATCTGAGGGCAGGTGTTCTGGAGAACCCTAGGGAAGAAGGGCTCCATAACTTCCTAAAAGGAAAAAGGTGGGTAAGTGGGGGAAAAATGTATGGGAAAATGAAGGTAGAAAGAAAGAAGGGAAAAAAGGAAAGACACAGTGAAGAAAAAAAAGAAGAAAAGTAACAGGTTGTGGATGCTTCTGCCATTGGTATCCTCTTGCTGGGCTCAGGGGTCCTGCTATCAGCTTCTCTACCCAGCTGAGGATTTACAAAAAGAAAATCCTGTTTTTCCAGACATTCACAAAAGCTATTGACTCCCAAGGGAAGTATGACTGCAATCTAAATGTTGCTGAGCTTGGCAGAGTGCTCCTCTTCCCCACTCCTATGCTTAGGTCAGAGTGATGAGAAAGGTGACAAGTTATTGAGTCACTGAGTTACATTTCCCAACAAGTGCCTTTGGGTGACAGTGCAGATACGCTAAAGCCATCAGCCATTGTATTAGAGCTGACAAAAGATTGATCCATGGATCAAAGAAGCATTCTCTGTGCAATTCTGAAGCACAAAGTTTACTAGCTATTCTCCTCTCTGCTTTCAGAGAGCTTCAAACAGCCCTCAAGGGAGAGAAAGGGATGTCAGGTCACACAGCCAGGTCCACTTCATTCACTGATCTCCTGCACAGCGTTCATCGTTCACCAAGTCATTTTCTGTGTCCTAACAAACTCCTGCCAAGGGCAGCTCCTCCCTCTTTCCTTCACAACTTTCTTTTCTAACCCTTGACAACCAAGAGCAGCCCACAAACAGAACATTCCTTGTGCTGAGGAGTCCTTTCCTTTGAGGAGTCCAACCCAGGGCTGTTCTTGCAACGAACTGGGATGGACAACACCTCCCTGTTTTCTGTTTCAGCCCTAACGTTCACAGAAGTGCCAGATTTAGCTTTGCAAACTGAAGTCCTTTTTACCAGAACTGATGTAGCTCTGGCCAGGCAGTGGGTCTGCCTCATGGATTCTGGAGGGGGATATGTCTATCTTTGCCCAGTAAGGTCAACCTTGAGATTGACTTCCCACCCTTTGATACCTGGGTTATGGTCTCTGATCTGTAGAAATGCAGCAAACCTATCAACTTGTTGTTTAAAGATGGCTTTAACCTTGCAGAGAATTAAAACTCACATAACAAGGGTTATTTAGAAAGAGCATTTGTCAGGTTTAGCACTTACTGCCTGAATATTTTCTTGCCTGAAGACAAATGAAAATATTCTCACAGAAATAGAGGTTCTTTTTCCATTTGCACCAGAAAAGTCATAATAAAGGAAATAATTACTGTTACCTGCATGTCCTACTGACCAGCTCTGGCTTTTGCAGTGCAGCCATTCTCCATGGTTCTGTGACCCAAGGAATTCCAAACCACTTCTGTGCCACATCCCCATCAGTTATTTCCCTCTTGCATTAGGTGAGACAGTGACAACGAATCTGCAGTGGGATCATCACTGTTAAAAAGTTTTCCAACTAGCCTGGCCTGACAACTTGTTTGCCACCCTCAAAGTTAAAACTGAAACTTTCATCTTACCAACATTTCACTCAGCAATGTAGGAGAGGTATTTAAGCCTCAGTCTGTTTCTGTTTGCAGAGGTTGTTGAAGAATCCTGGGTTTCCTGAAGGTAGTTCTACCCCAGTTTTTTCAAAAGGTCCTCTTCAGAAATGGAATTAGGCCCTTAGAAGTGCTGTCATTTAAATGCATTTACCAATCAGAGGTTGTCTTAAATAAACCTCAGTGTATTTACGCTCTCATTCCATGTTTAGCCAAACAACGTAATAGATTTTCTTCAGCAAATAAACCAGAATTCAGCAAAAATAAAAGCAGCAAAATCAACCTTCTCCCCCCCCCAACATCATTCTCCAGAAGGCAAAATGCTAAATCTATATCAGTGTTTTGGCAGTAAGGAAATATTCTCACAACAACAGTATCACAGCAGTAATGTCTTCTGCTTTGGAAATGTGTTACCTTGATGTTTATATAGCCACAGGAGACCATTCAACAATGGCAATGTGTTAATTCCATTGACATTATCGCTCAAATTCAGTCACAGGGGCTGGTGAATTCTTTTTTTTTACATGGCTCTTTCATCTAAAAGAGAATAAAGCAGGACATAATGGATGGTTAGTAACATATTGCTAAATGGTTACAAGACACAGGAAATTTCAACTGGGGAATGGGAAAAACTGAAAAATCCAAGTAAGTCTTGATTAGAACAGAGACTTGGTTTTTTGCTGCACTGAATTATCCCAATTTCTCAGCATTCAGAGCTAAGGAGTCTCAAAAAAATTGAGCATGTTCTATACTTACATGAGCAGACACTTGTTAGTCCCCTCCAGAACTCATGGGAAGCTCTGAGTTATTTGGAGTTATTCACCATGACAAAAACTCAGATAACTTCTGTATTGCTCTCATTTAATTTAACAATGGGAATGGTTTCTAGCAGATATTAATATTCATTCACTCAAGATGAAAAAAGCCACAGTTTTACCTAAAATTGGCTAGAAGATAAAATTATAAACATTTTAAGACATACAAAAATGTCCTAGCTGCAAATTCAGTGGCAATTTAGGGAGGGGAGACAGTTTTGGACAAGTAGTTTCTATTTTATGGAGAGAGAAAATGGAAGATAAATGGCAAAACTCACCAGCTGATGGGAAAGTTCTGATGCACAATTCAGTTCTTTTGACACTTATGATTTAATGAATAAATCAATGGTGTTATCATGAAATGGGTGCAGAAAGTGAATATTGACAAAATCCAGATACAGAATCCACGAAGAAAGAGCAGTTTCTAGTCCATGTTATTCAGAATGTATCACCAGTTCTGCTGCTACTGCTCTGAAAGCCCCCAGGATTTCCTTGCTGGAACAGTATGAGCCCCTGAGGATGGGGGAGAAAAGCTGTTAAAGGAAATGATATTCCTAACAAACATTGCCTCAGGGGATCACATGAAGACAGGTATCACCAAACAGAACTTAATTTTATGACCTTCCTTTCTGGACCTTATGGGATTACACTAGTTGCTCTCCAAAGTTCATCTATATGCCATAGCCATCATAATTTCAGGGACAAGTAATTAGGGGTGATTTTTTTTTTTTTTAACAGCAGAGATATTTCCACCTTTCTTTGGCCTTTTGCATTTTTCAGTGGTTAACAATGAACTTTTGAGTTTGCACATACTAGGGAAGTTAAGTCTATTTATTTTAAAGCACTTACTTTTGATGGAAATTTTAGTTATAGAAATACTTCAGGTTGCTGAAGAAACTGTACACATGACACTATGGTGACATGTAACCTGATGCTGGCCTTTGCTATCTTTGTTGAAATCAATAGTAGTTATTTACATTTAGGTACCTTGTTGAACCAGGCACATATTTCAGAAGGAACATTGTCCTCCTCCTCCTCTCTCTCTTCCCCAGCAGACTCTCTGCACTTGGAAATAACATTTCCATATTTTCATACTCTTTACAGCTACTTTTCCACGTGTTGATAGCACCAGATAACAGCCAGTTGCCCCACTGCTGTCTGTGTGCCCGAGTTGTTATAACTGAATCACGACCATACACACAGCCTGGGCACTGTAACAGGAATACAAATATTTCTGAGTTTCACTGAAATTGCAAGGAGCTCATCAAGAAATAAAATGCAGCAGGAGTGAATTTTATGCACAGGCTGTTTACACTCTCTTACATTTTGATCAAGTATCAGTTATCTGAAAGTGAACTCCCCAGTTTGGAGGGTAACACCTCCAGAGCAGGGAGCTGAACTATGTGCAGTTGTTAAGGCCCTTGTGTTTGCCCCTCAACAGCTGCCAATACACACGTCCAGGGGCTCAGCCCAGGCCAGGGTGGGCACCTGCCATCCCAGCTGCACAGGGATATCTCTGTGGTGAGGGGGAGGGAGTGGGACACATCAAGGAATTAAAACAACTCTGAGGTTGCAGGCTTTCTAGCAAACCTGCACTGCTTTCTCATTTTTCTCCTTACCTTGACAAAACCAGCTATATTAACAGCTTCTAAGGAAAAGTGCAGGCCTGGTAGAATGTGCCACTGCAGGAGAATCCTTGCCCAGTTCACAGGAATATTGATTTTAGAGAGAGTAAAAAGCATCACTGTGCATCCAAGTGTGTACCAGTAAATGCACTCGGCTTGTTTGGCTCCTACAGACAGACCCATGCCTGTCTCTCCACAATTAAAACATGAGCTGACAGCACTGCCTAGATGCCAATAGCTTGTTCTGACTGCACTGGCGGAATTCAAATGCTTCCTCAGGTAGCAGTGCAATGGAATCAACCGACCCAGGTTATCAGCACAAACCCCCTGCATTTCCCTTTGCAGAAATGCTTTACGGTGTGCAATCCCAAGCTGTTATGGTGTTCCAAGAAAGCCAAACTGAAAAATCCCCTTGCACCACTGATACTTGCTGTGAAAGAACATGTCAGGCTCTTTGTTTTGCTCCCAGGAAAGCCCATTTACTTATTAAGTAGAGGAAGCATTTCCAGCAGGGTGTCTATTGGGAGAGCCGTGGCAGCAGCTATTTGAACTTGTGTCGCTCACTTCAGGGCACAGCACTGCAAATTGATGCTGTAAGCTCAGAACTCCCACTATGAATTTCTGAACTTTCAATTTATTTTTTCTTCGTAGCCCATTCTAAACTAATGGAAATCTGATATACGGTCCAGACATTCCTAAGTGACAAATTTCTGTACTCAAACTGCTTGCTGACATCCACATAGCATGGTGAGTTTTTGTATGTTGGCTCAATTAACAAGTTCAGCGATTCTCTGAGAATACATCTAGTGCCATCTTTTAAGGGGAAAAGAAAATTATCACTGCAATCTTACTGAAGGAGTTACATTTTATATATATCCACGCATTTAGAAGAGAAAATGTGACTCTTCATACACATTAGGGGTATAATTTAAGGAAATGAAATCTCTGGTGTGACTTAAATTACAAGGAATCAAAGAACACTTCTCAAGTATATGAAGCTTTTCTGCTCATACAACATCCTTTACTAATTATTACTGAACAGTATGTGTTCAGTGCTATATTAGATCATAGTTCATGTAATGCATATTTGCAAGTAAAACTCAGTTGCATACTATTCCCTGTGAACAGCCCTCCATATCTGTCCTCAGAGAAGGAAAAGAATGTGAATATGTGGGCAGGTCCTTAGGATAACTGTAGATATATGTAACAATTCACGCAAGAAGCACTATGTCTAAAATACCTTTCTCCTGCTACATGGCCTTTCACTTGTAGTTACAATAATAATATCACTCAACTAAAATTAAATGAATACCATTCCAGTGGGGTTCTCATATGCTTATACCATATATGAACATTGTTTATATTCCATTTATAGTGGAATTCACTGTTGTTTGCAGGGTCTCTGAAAGACATGGGAGAGGAAAAAAAAATAGGCTGAGAAATAGAAATTGAGAGGGAGATATCCCTGTCTAATCTGAGAGCAAAAACTACTTTTTACCATAGATAGGCTTTAGATAGGCAGTTTCCTTCAATAGGACAATGTAGTTAGAGAGACACTGCAAAGTGTTCCTCCCACTGGGATTATATAATGGAATGTTTTCGTACCAACTATAGACACAATCATTTAATTGCGCAGATAAATCTTACGTGCAGGCAGAAGTGTGATTTCACTTTCTCCCTTGGTAGAAGTGATTTGGTTTTCCTGATTCTGCAGTCAGTGCGTGGCCTCAGCTCCATCTCACTGTGCCCCTTCCCGAGCAGGAAGCCTGCCAGATGGCTGCAGGACCTGATCTCACCTCCAGGCTGCTTCACAGAACTGACACTGTCTTACAAGGTTTTATCCAAGCTCGAAAGCTTCTTGTTTCTTCCATCAGCCTCAAAAACATTTTCATCCCTGATTAGAATTCTACTTCCCAAAAAATCTCTCAAAACGCTTCACAGACCCACAAGTTGCGTGTTTATCACCTACTGCTGGGCTCAGTTACACCAGCACAAACCCCACACCACTGCAATGAACTGGGACTGAACTAACCAGGATTTACACTGACGAAGCTCAACACGTTATTTGAACCCTTTTACACAAGGTTGCCATGAGATGCTCCCTCTCCCCACTATAATATGCTGCACATTAAGAAAATGGAAACGCCCAGTGGGCTTCTTATAGAGAAATAAAGAAAAAAAAAAAAAAGGGGAAAACAAAGTCATGGGGCAAACAGATTTTGTGTGAAAAGCAAGTATAGAGTGGATCTGTTTTCCTGCCAAGTGTCAATATTAATGGTAACAAAGTGAGCTCTTGTTTTTGGTTGCCATGGCCAGGAACACACAATCCTGTAAACAGCCTATGAGGATTCTCATTCCCTCTGCTTTGAATCAGACTATACATTATGCAAAGGACATATGGTACAGTAGCAGAAAGCCCTAAGAACTGAGTGAGGTCCAAACCAGCAATGCAATGTAGTCTTTCAGAAGTTTCAAGGTAGATCTTGGTCGTCCATTTTAAGGTGAGGGGTTGGTCTCTCCCTTCTTTTTTTTCCCCTCCCTTCCCTCTGTCCTAGGGCCCCCTCTAGTGCTACTGGAGCAGCCAGCGTAGCTCCCAAATGACACGGGATGAACTCTGGGCACTCGGCTGTAGAGATGCACTCACAGCCAGCAGGACTTTGCCCACATGCCGTGCACAAAGCTGCACTGAGGGGGGTGACCTCAAAGACAGCTTTGAAACTGGAACAGGGGCTCTGGAGTTGGCTAACAAGTGCTTGCTGATGGGTGTTATGCTCATAGTTCCATTAAATAAACAGCAGCAGGAATAAAAATGTCTATCCAAGGAGACATGTCTTTAATTCCCTGGTGAGATTTGTCTGGGATTCTCTAAGTATTAATGTGAAGGGGCCATTTGAGTGAAGTTCAGTCATCCTCCAGAAGCCAACAAACCCAGATGCTGGTTCACAATGCTACTGGTTCCACCATGCCCTGCAAGGACAGCAGTCCCAAAAAGGCATAACTGGGCTGGGGTACAGCCTGTGGTGCAGTATCCCGAGGCTACTCCCCAAATCATGAATAGTATTGTAATTTAGCATTAGTGGATCCCCAGTTATCAACTAGAAGGGGAAGACAATAATTAACATTCAGCCTACAGTGAACTTCTTACCATCATCCTCAACTGCAAGAGCAAAGCTTCTTCATCCCAGCTTTATGTGA